CCTCAGATGACTCGGCATTGGAAGATGCTTTTAAATTCATTTAAAAACCTCGTCTTTCGGTTTCGCTCGTCGATGTTGGTCAGAAAAGACAGCATTTAATCATTAGAAGGTATATTCTTGGTGTTACTTTTTCTATGTACCTTTCAGCAATACGTCATTATCGACACCATTTAACGATCCACTGCCGGACGAGAGTCGTTCGAAGAACTTGCCACACAATTCTTTCCACTGCTGTTTTTACTCACAGGAATCTGATAAAGTTAGGGACTTCATCTTGCCATCAGTCCAAAAATTTCGCTGAGCATTTCCTCTTGAAACTCAGCATAATGTCTCTTGGTTACAGCAATGATTCTTTCTTTTTGAACAAGTTCATCTCTTGCAAAGGCATTGCAGATCTCTGTTTCAGCTATTATCCATTAGTTCGTTTTTTATTTGTTTTTGTTAGCCTCAGTGTCTAATGCTGCATTGCATGATCTGTAGCCGCTATAGGGCTTTCACTCTTAGTCTGCCAGCCCTCGAAGCAGGCACTGACTGAAGACCTTCGGTTTTCAGCATGAGGGCAGTTTCCCGGATTCTTTGTGTCTTCCGTTTTCCAAATGTACCTCATGTCATTTTAACCCTTCTGCTAAATGTGCTGAGTTAATTCGCTGTTTCAGAGATCAGCTTACCCCCAGATACACTGAACTTTGCATTCATAAACTTAAAGTCTCAGTCCGTTAAATTCAGCAGCTTTCAAGCGTAACTCATGACTTGAACCTTCTGACTTAATTTTATTTTTAAGCCCGCATCAAAGTGGGTGTCGTTCAACTCTAAATCCTATTTGTAGTAATTCTGTACTTTTCAGCATTTGGAACTTCTCTCACTTGAGAATTGTGCACTGGCAGTAAAAGCGGGCAAAAGCAATACGAAATGCAGAAACACCTCTTTGAGGCAAAACTGCTACAGAAAGGAATGTGACGTTTGTCGCAGCAATGAGCATTGCATAATATCAAACTGAAGCACCATTTCTAACGGTGAAGCATCACTAATCAGGACTACTCTGCTTTTTAAGCTTTGTTGGCTTCAGATGACGATGATGGAACAAAAAACAATAGTTTTCGGCATCAGATGAAACTAAACAAAACTTGAAGAAAGAAATTACCTTGATCAATGATCGCTGAGGTTGTGAAAATAGTGTTTCAGATATAAATTAAACGCTTCTGACTGGTGCAGCAAAGGTAATAATTTTCAAAATAGTAGTTTCTTGAAAAGATGTTTTCAAAGGGAATCTAGACTCTGGCTCTGGTTTCAGTTGTGCAAACATTGATTTATTTAAATAGATTTTTCTTTTAATTGCTAAAATATCTCAGACGGGGTTCATGGAGTAAGCAAAATAAGCAAAACCTGTTTAATCGATGCAACATCAGTAGCGACTTGCATCTCAAAGTGCGAAGCCACTTGCGAGTAGGGTCGAACCTAGAGTAGTTGTTCTCCAGTATTTTGGATGACGAGCCTTCCTTGAGGGAAGACTGGCTTTTCTAAGTGAGTTTTGAATGTTTCTGGTATCAGCGTAATAAGCTGTTCCTTCGCCGGAGAATGTCAAAGAGCACCTTACTCTTATAAGCTCAAATTTGACGTCTTATTGCACCGCCCCCATGCTGATTGTTGCCTGGAGGGGTGGGGTTAAGAAGGTTACGACTCCGTGGTATTTGAGCATCTGCAATGTCAGATTTGTCTAATAATTTTGTCCGCTAGAGCCACCTCGTCCTCACTACGAACGATGTTTCAGAAGCTGTTACCGCACAAACATCATAAGTTGTTCGTACAGTGGCGTTTGTTAAATAAGGAACGACTCCTCTAATGAGTACCGTAGATGACAACCATGGAGCCGTTGACTACCTAAATGGCCTCGCAGGCTAGGAGCAAAGGGGCGGAGCAACAAGTCGCAAATTTTGGTTTTGAAATAGTCATTCGTTATGTTTTTGGTATTAGATTGAAAAACTTGAAAATTGAGCACAATTCTTTTATGTGAGAGATTAGTTCCATTGTGTTTTTGAAGAAATTACTGTAGCTACGTGCCGCATCTGGCTCATGCTTACGGTGTCTTGAAATTCTGGAGGAGAACTGCGTATTATTGAAGGAGGTGTTACTGCAGTGCCATGAATGGGTTAACTTGGATTTCTTAGACCGGTCGGTAATTGGCAACGAATCGCTCTGACCGCAACATGCTCGTCATTCCTCAAGGGTTCGAGCCCTCTCCCTCTGAGCGCGTGCGGCCTCCCCTTCTCCTCGTCTAATCCTCTCATCGTCGTGGTAGACAATCAAGCAGCCTAGTCCGCCAGCGAGAGTATCAGTCAGCGATCGTCGTCAACCATCTCCGGTGGGGAAGCCAAGCTACGTGCCCGGCCAACTGCAGCTTCTCCTAAGCGCCTAACGACAACTGTAACCTTTGCCCCCCCTTTCGTTGTCTGATCATCGTGTTATTGATATAGTTGCGAAGTGAGATTCCAAACATTTTTTTCCATAGCTTTCTCAGAAATAGGAAACTGGCGCCCTTTCGCTTTAGTAGGTGACTATATCTCACAGCAATGCAACATCGCCAACAGAACGGCAAAATTGGATATTGACGTCCATTCCAAATGCTACTTTTCTAACTTTTTCAGTACATATCTGCGTAGAAGAATTATCATGGCCATTGGCTTTTGGCCGCTTACCCAAAAACTGGAAAATAGTAACAATATACACCAAAAGATGCTCATGTCTGATGTCGTTACATTCACTATGTTTTGTCCTTACGAGTACTGAACTGAATCGATGAAGCACCGAACTGTAAAAGCATGCAATGATTTTCCTTGTCAGAGATTGCAGAGGGAAAAAATTTAGTTTTATTTCGAAAATTATCAGGAATGAAGCTTTTTAAACACAGACTACCCGACTCTGCTGAGTCTTGGAATCCAGCCCATGGAATGTAGCGGAGAAGCGAGTCATTTTAAAATTCTCCTCAAACAGCTGCTACCGCTCCAACGAAGTAGCAGCCACTGAACATGTATGTTCGACAATGAAAACTTTAAACCCTTCGGTTAGCTACTGCCAAAAAAGCGATAAGAGACAGACTTCATCCATCAGATGGCATTTCAAATTCAATCTGCGCAATCCTACTATTCAGGGTCTACTTTGATCGTCATGACGATCATAGTAGCAGTACAAGGAAGTGGGTAACAGTCGGAATCACTTTCCCTTAACGTTCATGACTTTGAGCCATTTATGGTATCTTTTTATGGGGCTTGCGGTGAAACGCCAGTGTTCATCTGTTTTCATGAACGTGGAGTGCCCTGTGGTTATTATCTTTTAGGTTATATGTACATAGAGGTAATCAGTAGTGGGTATGGTCTTCCGTTTTCTCCTGATTCAATAGTAATCATTTGTCAACCTCTAGAGGAAAGAAAAGTGAATGATTCAACTAATCCAACAGGGGCTTGAGCTCAAAGTCTCTCGATTGTGAGTCTGACAAAGCAACCCAATGAGCAACCCAGGTTTAGTAAGCCAAAAAGAAGATAAGATGCAGCAGGAACGAATGAACGTCTGGGCTAAACGATGAATCTATTCTCTTTCAAACAATCATTGCAGCAGAGGAAACTATTAAGCATTACTGCGAAACGGTCTCCCGCTGAGAGAGGCACAAATTGACGTACTGAAATCCAAACAAACTAAAAACAAAACAATAGAAGAAGAGAAAAATCAATCTAGGGACACTATTTAGGATAGGTGGATTTGACATGTGATCAAGGTGAAATCCTATAGAAATTGAGGCTTTAGTATGGGACTGGAACTTTGCCTCCTCTGAACAACACACTTACTAAAGCAGGGTTATCCTGAATCTTTGCAAATTTGAGCAAGCGCCGAAATCAGATGGCATGTTGTCGTTTGCATGATAACTGATGAACTACAACAGGTCTGATCACAAAAAACAGCCATAAATCTTGAAGCAACAGCAAAAGTAATAAGGCTCTGACGAAGAGGGAGTAGCAGAAAGCGACGTATACATGGGTGCAGTATCACAAGAAAAATGCATGGTAGTATGCTATACAAAAATTCTGTCATCCGCGCCTTACATTGACTTCGTCTAGATGCCATACAGTCATTCATCTGGTACATGATACCGTAATCCGCATATGAAATGTGCTCTCTTTGCTGTTCCCTTTCATCATAACTGTATAACTCTATTTTTTTCAAGATTCATAAACTTTGAAGTAGCTGAAAGAACGCAATAGCTCATGTTATGATCGACCGATAGTCAGCAGCCAGATAGGCGCTGCCAGTCATAATACTTCCCTCACTCGTTCGTCGTTTTGGCCTTCCCATGCTAGTATGGTCCAGAGATATGATCGTCCGACCTTCTTTCAAGATGACGGGGCCGTGTTGCACCACCCAGCGGGTACCAATTGACGATAACCGCCGAGTTTCGATAGTCAGTCGACAGAGCCACTGCCCAGCCTAATGTATTTGGCCCTTCTCGCTTTCGCTGAGGAACTGTCACTTCGGTTTGGCGTCTGGTTTTTACACTGCGGACGTAGCCTTAGAACGAACCTTCCAATATCCTCGTTCCATATTTCTTCTCATAACAAATAGACGACGCCCTCCCCTTTCATCAGGTACCATGTGTCATATTCATAGAGCATCGCTTGCAGTACGATTGCACCAGAGATAAGCCAGTATTGATTTGCTGGTCTTTCTGAGTAGTACGGATGTGCTTGACGATGGTGAACGTGTGCATACCTGCTCTATTTGATGAGATGTCAGCTGCATGATTATGTCTCCCTCGCAGTAATAGACTCAACATTCCACTTCTTCCATAAGCTACCCATTTTAACCTTAATTTCGATCTTGCGATGTGTATCTGATTGCTGGTACCCAATCTCAGGTGTAAGTGCTTCCATTACTTGATTGTTAGTTCTACATTTCAGCTCTCCTAGTCCAATTAATTATTTCAATATGCAATTGAATGGTACTTTTTACAGTTAAACTGTACATGACACCCCCGGCCCACGTTAATGACAATTTTTCTGTGAACAGGTTCAGTACGCTATTCCTAACCGTCAGCCGGCCAGGAAGTAACGCTCAAGGCTACTGATATATTTTTGTGCGTTCAAGAGGCCACTGCCGCTCATGACGTAAGTTTCGTTTACACTTTGCACCGCTTCTTTCGAAGCGCGAAAATCTGGCGCGCTGCAAATACAACCCTTCCTCTTCTTGCACCGAGGAAGATAAACAAAGGAGTCGTGTTCCGTCTTGAAAGGCATCAACTTCGAGTCGCTTTTCAATAACAACAAGCCGTCACTGCCGGCTTCTACCTCTTGCTCCTCGAGGCGAACGTTCGTCGTCGGCTTGCTCTTTGTGCCAACGATGCCGCCGCCGCCGCCGCCGCCTCCGCCACCTCTTCCATTTCCTCTTCTTCAGGTTGTTGGTCGCATGCAGGCAAGTAGCCTAAACGCACGCGCAACAGTTGTTGTTTTAAGCGGGCGATCTCGGCCCGTCCTGGCCTGAAAAACAATCGTTTACATGACGGCCGAACATCAGATTGGCAAGTGGAAAAGAGAGCGGTGAGGCGAGGTGGCAAGAAGCACAAGTTTGTTTAGCGGCTGCAGGAAAC